GGCGATAAGCGATCCCCGGGGCGAGGAGCGACATTTTCCGTGGCCCTTCTCAACCTTTTAATCGCCTCCTGTTAAGTAGGGGTTTGATGGGGCACAAGCCAACCGACCACCCCTGCGCCCTTCCCGGCCTGCGGTGGGAATAATCACCGGCACCCGGTGCCCGCCCTCGCTCCGAGGCTGCCTCATTAATATTCCTTTCCCCACTTGCCCATTGGCACAGCCTAATTGAAATGCAGAGAGAAGGGAAGTCTGTCATGTAAGGGGAGCTCAGGATGCAGGCAGCCGAGGAAACAAACCTCCCGGTTCTTGCTCAGCTCGCCTTACTCGCTGGTGTTTTGCCTTCTCAAGCCCCTCGCCCGCCTGCCTCACACCCCGTCCTTCTTCGGCAGGGGCTGCCCCGCTGCTAGGTTTCGTTCCCATTGGTTTTAGGGTTTTCGGCGCAAGTAGATCAGGACAGGCTTGACAATTAAAAGATAAGGGTTTATATTTAGCGTACCCTCATTTTGCATTGTTAACTGAGAATTAATTAAATAACACCAGCCATAACATCACAGCTTTTTTTTTTTTTTTTTTTTTTTTTTTTTAACCAATCTCTTTCCATCTCCTTTCCTTTCAATCTGTTAATGGCAGAAAACACAGCTCTCAATTATCCTCTTAACATCACTGGCATACCTGCTTGTTGCATTTTGGCTGAAGTTGTTTTGCTGAAGTTTGCTTCTGAATCATTACCAGTTCCAAAGTGAACGTGTGAAATTGCATGCACAGACATGGTGGGGGAAAAAAAAGAAGGAAAAAAAAAAAAGAAAAGAAAAACATTATTTTATTAGGTTGACTATAGAATCAACAACAAACAACGGGGGATTCTTTTTCCTACTTTCCTTCCCACCGTTCTTCCTTTGTTTCCTGCTTCCTAAGTGTTGCTGCTTGCAACTGGAGGTGCCCTTGTTTTCCTTCTCTAGTGGCTTAGTGACTCCACAGCAGAGCATGAGAGACAAAAGGAAGAAAAGTGCTTGGGCCATCAAGACAATCTGTTACTTCCAACTTTGACATGTTTCATAACTTGCAGGAAGACTGGGAAGAGAGAGGGAACAAGCTGGATTTCTTTGTTTTTAAATAACCTCTAGGATGACAGCCCAAACTGTGGGAAATTACAAAGATAAAGGCACAAGTGCAAAAACTGAAGTCCGAAGAACGCTCATTCAGCAGCCATCTAACCCTGGCCACGTCTAAGGTACAAGGCCCTCATCTTCCCCTGTCCAGATGTGAAAATGTGCTCTGCTCACAGTTCTCCATTATCTGATCAGTTAAGCATCTATAGTCAATCTAAAGGCTTCTTTGGATCTGCCTGCAAGTCCCCATGCATTGCAAATTAACAGCTGATACTAAAGGCAAGATCAACCCTCACAGTAAAGAAAACTATTTTTAACTACTTGTTCTAAGAAAGGGTGACTTCACAAAGATCAATATATGCAGAAAAAAAAATCATATAAAATGAAGAGCCTTTGTGATTTATTCTTATGTGAAATTCATTACCTAATAGAAGTAGAATAATTTTTTCCACAGATATTCATGGCATTCCTTCCCAAAAGACACTTCAAGCAACCATAATACCAACACTAGAATCTAACCTTTGTATGTGGGTTGCACCAAAACATAGAAAAACACGTTTGTTAAGGAAAGCAGTCATGGTGGCTTCCCGTTGCTGTGATAGCATATTGTCATTCTTCAACAGCTGCACGGGGTAGGTGTGTATTTATAATGAGCTTGTGCTCAAAGCCTTCCCCCAGAAAAATGTGCTGGGTTTTAGGCTTTAATCACAATTATCACCTGCGATGTTCTCGGAGATTTACCATAGCTTCATGCATTGAAGTCACACTTCAGATAAACCACCTACCTTAAAAGTGTCAGAAACTTGAAAATAACTCCTCATTCCCCTTCTCAAACAAGTTGGACGGCCCTGTGGGGCATCCCAAATCACAGGGAGGCTGAGCACAGGGACAGCTTACTGAGGCAGTGTGTGAGAGATCAGGGGCAATATAATTGATATCAGAGAGAATGTTCTCCGTGATAGTCCCACGCCCTTAGAACCCATGCTGCTGATAGCATTTGAGGAGAAAAGGGTGGTATTGCTGGGTTTTTATTGTTTTGTTGGGTTACGTGCATGCATGGCTCACACAGACTGGATGTGTTAGCTCTTGTTGGTTAGAAACAGCTACTTGAGCCCCCTCAGGTGCACAGTCAACAGGGAACTCTCTCTTCCTTTCTGCGTTATTATTTGCGGAGTGGTGTTGAATGCTGTCATTCATCATTGAATTTCAGTGAGCTCTGAGTCATGCGCGGCGTCCAACACATCACCTGGGTTTGTGAGACTCTCTGGAGTCCTGACACAAGTGCCTTAGGAGGTAGGGAGTCATGCCGTTGGTTTGAATAGGACTCGAAACAGTCCACTGGAAGGCAGCAGGTCTACAAATTGTTATTTTCAAAGTATAAACAAATTATTTTACTTAAAAGGTTTCATTTCTTTTCTGCTATATTTGCTGAAATACATAACTAGACTTCAATCCCTATTTTGATATTTAAAGTATCTTAAAAGAAGGACCTTACAATCTTATTATTCCCCTTCTCAAAGCTCTGTACACACTTACAAACGGTGTTTCACAACACCTTTGTGAGATTGGAAAGACTCTGTGAGTCTTTGTGAGATTGGAAAGAGTCTGTGAGCAGGGCAAGTATGTGACATTTCGTAAGCCCTTCTTCCAGTTTAGAGGTAATGGAGTCACAGGAGACTTTAAGCCCAGGCAAGTCATTCTCCATATTGCAAAATAGTAAATTAAATGTTTCCTTTACCACTTTGCTTGAAAGAATAATTTAGATGACAAAGTTACTCCATCCTTCAGGCAGAATAAATTGCTCAAAACCTCAAAAACCTCCCATTTGTAGCCATTAGGAAGGTGGCAGTAAACATTTTCTGTCATGGACATTATCAAGGAACGCCAAACAGAACTTAACACAGTATGCTGATCTGGGGTATGTTCTGCAGCATACTAGTTCCAGACAAAAATTTTGGTAGATTAAGGTAATCATAATATACTTTGTGCTGCCTGAGAACGATCCTCACCCTTATATCTAGGCCAGCAGCACTCTTAGCTGTAAGAATAAAACCAGTCATCATTGGGGTGCAAAAAAGTGATGGATATATATGAAAATCGAAGTGATATTGCAGAAATTTTTATATGTGATATAGCAGTGGACTTTTTAAATATAAAGTATGCTTCTTCTAAATGCTTTCATCTCTAAAAAGGCATAAAACATATCTCAGACAATATAGTATTCCTTATTGGAAAGACTATCCTTCTAAAATGTAGATTTATAAGAATTAAATAGTTAACCATTCATGTCTTCGAGATACATAACCAAGATGCAGTGCCTATGTAATTTTAAACATTTATTTTATTTTAGTGAATCATGACAAAACAAAAAGTTGAAGGGAGAGTTAGTTTTTGACCAAGTCAGTCCCTAGACTAGTTCATCATGCAGCTACGTGAACGCTAATCTGAGCAAGAAGAAAGGACAAGCTGGCTCCTTTCAGGAGCAGCTCCACATTATGCCCCATTGAACTGATGACGGAAATAAGATTTCTGCAAGAAAAGACGACTCAGGTCTCCAAAACCCCTCTAGTCACTGGCTTTCTCCAAAACAGCGCCCCAAATCCCTCAGAGAGGTGACATTATTTTGAAATGCACTGTTCAACAGTAGATGCTGGCATAATAAACAAGGAAGCAAGAAAAATCTTCTGGCCTTTTGCGGTGCTCACTGTTGTAAGTGCCCGAGCAACTTTTGATCTTCAGGGTTTTCTGTCTAACTGTGACACTGCAGGACTGGGAAGAGTTGTGCTCATTCAGAAGCTCTGTCATACAGACTGCCTGACTGAAGAGCAGGAGTAAACAGCCAGTGCCAGCTTTATTTCAGCTGTGTGTAATCAGCCTTAAGTCAAGTTCCAAAGTGCACTGGGAAATTCAGCAGAACAGGGCATTGAAATGAGCTTTCCTATTTTACGTATTTTATTTTATGAGTGTTTTTTCTTTCCCAGGATTATACTTCCCCCAAATCTGAACCTTAAAACCCACACCAGGATTTAGTCTTCTCCAAATACACTGAGATCTACAGAAAGAATGAGCGAAGAGTCTTGGCTTTCTATCGGGAGTAGTGAGAGTTGCATCATCCTTTTAGAGTAGGTCTTCCATGATGGGACAAATGTAAAGTGAGCAGCAGAGGGCAATGCAATACACACACCGGCTGGGATGGGAAAGCTCAGATAAATAGAACTGGCTTGTAACTCTTGGTTTGAGTGAGAGGAAGGGGAGATCTGCCTTTATAAAAAGCGATAGTTTTCTTCAGCTGCAAATTCCTGTTTTCTTTTCGCACCTATGGGGAACTCACATATCACAGCAGGCTGGAAGTAAGTTTACAGCAAAACAAGACCTTTGCTCTGGATAGACAAGACAGAATGCATAAAATGCAAATATATGTTAAATCATTTCATAAACGTCTTTACATTTGTGTTACTTGTACAAATATAGTCTATTTTATCTTTCAGCTGTTCACTCAAGTATTCCTTGGACTCTGAAGACATTTTTCGTGTAAAGCAACACAGATTTGTGATGTTTCATGTTCCAATTGTCCAGCTTGGGGCAAGTAGAGCTTGTTTATTACAGGGATAGAAATATTCAGCATTTCTAAAATTCAACATGACAACATGGGCCTACTTTGAGGTTCATTCTATTTGAATATATTTTAAAGTTCAAAGATGAGTGCTCTTCTATTGCTACAATGGGATTGATATTCAGATGTAGGGCCAGTTATGATCAACCTTTTTTCCAGGAATACAAAGAAAGGAGAGACATTAGACTTCTGCCACCTTGTGTTGCCCACAAAATTGCCATGTGGTGACTTTGCAATCTGGAAATACCAGGAATCATTCGTCAATGCCTGCCTTTGCTTCTGCAAAGGCCTCATCTCCCCTTTTCACCTTTGGCCACCCTAAATGATATTCAATGCACCTGAATTTATCAATGACCAATGGACTTGCCTAAGCCTCAAGGCCTCAGACGACTTCTGAGATGTGCTTCTGCATGTCTTTTTCCCCCGCCATAATGCAGTCTGTAGGCAGATGACGCAACTGAGCAGTGATATTTCTATCTAAAATATTTAATTAATTAATTAAATTCTGCTTTTGGAAAGTCAGTAGCATGAAAGAGTAGTAAATCAAGCAGAAAGTTAAATGGAATATAGAATGACAAACAAAGGGATTACTGAGGGACGAGTTTTCCAGAGAAACTGGTTTAAAGGGTGCTGTCTTTTGTGAACAAGCACAAGTCACTCTAGAATAAAAAGCACAATACAGACCTTCAGATTGCCTGAAAACTGCTGAAATTGGCAGTTCTGGCAGTGACAGATTTCGAGCAGAAAAAATCATGGGGTTTTTTATTCCTAGAAAGAAGGAATTGAAATTTTGAATTTTAAAAGAAAAAGGAATGCTTTTCTGAAGTCCTGATAAAAAAATTCAGCCCTTGCCCTAATTTCAGAACTGCTTAAAAGAATGGCTAGAATTCATTTAGCAGTCTGTCCAATAACTGCTCCTAGTCAGGAAAGCTTTTGTTGCTGATCCAAGATTACCTTATCTTGGGTGGCAAAAAATCTGCATTTTAAAAATGATCCTGCCTCCCGGGACTTCAAAGAGTTTCCTCCTGTCTGTGACTAATGTTAGCTAAAACACACGCGAAGGTGTTCTTCTATCACTAACAACAAATAAGCCAAAGACAGTTCTAACATGAAATGTCTTGCCTAGATTCAACAAGAACAACAAAAAAATCACATTGCTCCCTACAGAGTCGACACAAATGTAGCTTCTTTGTCTATGGAGTCTAGAGAGTAAGATTTAGGAGGAAGAGTGTTGTGCTAAACCCCATGTTGTTTAGAAAAAATCATAAACCACATAATTGCTTGTGGATGTAGCTGTAGCCTGTGACAGTTTGCTCACATTTTGCAAAAACATTGAGCTATTTATAAACATATCTGGGTTAAGTAATTGCCATTATAGTATTTTTATACATTTAAAAGAAGAATTCAGCTTTTCTGCACTCTGAAGATGACATATTATGCAGAATGAAAATTAAATCATAGTAAAGACTTTTGCATAAACAAACTGCTAGATTTCAGAACCTGCTCCAAGTATTGCAGTTTCCTAAATTGCCCCTTGCTGCACCAACAGATGGAGAGGTCAGGAAGCTCCCTAGCTGGGCAGATGAGAACCATCACAGCTCCTGAGGAGCTGGTTAGATGGATTCTCAACTAGCTCTGCTGGAGGAGGCTGAAGTACCCAAGGATGCACATATCCAGAATGCTCCTAGCACGCATCTAAGCTGGCAGTATAAATCCTTCCCCCACTCTTCCATGCTTCAGTGCAAGGGATCTTTACGTGAACGATGGTTCTCCATTTCATCTCTACTCACTTCTGTATATGCTGGTGCCAAGAACAGCCCAGGGCCTGGAAAAAAGCCTCAGTCTTCTGCAGCTCTCAGTCCAGCCGCATTCCATTGCTTTGAGAATGCCTCGGGCTAAAATAAGTAAATAACCAGATAAATGGATGACACTTGGTGTAAACAGGCCTGGTTTGCCTTCCTTTCCTTTCAAGCAATGAATCACCAGTGAAATAGAGGTGACTCACTAGGGGAATCCAAAGCAATAGCTGTCCATGCTGTAAAGGGGGAGAAAACGAGGCTGCATTGTAATATTAATTTGCACGGTACTGAGTCAAATCTGCCTGTTAAGCGCAAAAGGATTTTTAAGGAAAAACAGAGCTGCCCTCATATCTCACTAACATAGTGAGAATGTATAAATAGTTGCACATGGCAGATAGTTTGTGTCAACACAATATTGTACTTGCAAGCATCTGGATAGCAACTGCTTGACTCGAGAGAGCAACTGAGCGGCTGCTAGCAAAATATTATGCTGCCATCTACAAAGTAAGCATTGTGTTGCCCAAAAGCTCTGGACGGTGCCATTCAAATCTGCCACACAAAAAGCAGTGCCCAGGGCAAGAGTTTATTAAACATCACCAAGATTATTTGAGAAGAGAGAACTTGTTATGTCCTTTCTAACTGATTCTGTGGTACCTGGCTTTGTGGTGTGAACTCTTGCTGATGGTCCCTACTGTCTTAACTAAGAACCTGAACAGGTCCTCACCTAGGCCTGGCCAGACCCTGGCATGGGTGGACAAAGTTGCTTGCCACATTTTGGGAACAGGGCGACAGGTTGTCCCCTCTTCCCTGGTGGCCCTCCACGCAGTTTTCTCATTGCACCATCTGGCTTCAGAGGCTTGATCTGGTGCATTGCATTACAAGTCCCTTTTTTTGCTGGAATGCTGTGTTGGGGGCACAGGGGTGGCTCCAGCAGCTCCTTGCCCCCCTTCCTGGGGAACGTAGTGCTGCAGCACATGAAGGAAGCTTTTAGCTAACCCCAAATTGCCGCTGTATAAAAAGCAGGCAAGAGCACGTCCATTAGCCAGAGCAAGATCTTCCCCAGTGCTGGGTCTCCCTACGACAGCCTGAATCTCTTCTCAAAAACACCAGAGGCAGAGGAGCAGTCATATGGGATGCAAAAGACACAAAGGGAAAAAAAAGTCTTTTTTATCTAATTTGTCAAGTCACGTAACTCCAACTTCCAACTCCACATTCTTCACAGAATTCCCACTCCTCTCATTTACTTCCCATTTATTACAGGCAACAGTTTAACAGGAACCTCATATCATCATCATATCCTTGACTATTCTTGGGTTTTTCAAATTATGTATTTGCCCAGCAGGGTTACTTCCACAGGGAAGTGTAAATGGCTGTTACAATTCTCAATCACAGTTCCTCTTCAAGGAAAGAATTGTAGCTGAATGGAGTCTTATTTAATTTTTGAAATTTTAAAGGACTTAGCAGGGGGTTCTGTTTGTATAAGG